CACACTGGTGTGGGGTCAGGATGGCCACTCATGCTGCAGGCTAATGAATGTGGTAGAATACAGAGTGTCATTATCATTTGGGGAGCGTCATGAATGTCCTATAAGCAAAACCATACACTCTGTATTAAAGCAAAGTTCCAGTAAACCAGGTGTCAACATAACAAAGCCAAGGGCACCTGTACAAGATTTATTTCACTAACCACAATGTTTCAGAGTGATGGTATACACCCTAATACAGAAGGAGTGACTCAAAATCCATCAAGAGTCAAAGGTCAGAGCCGAAGTCAGTGGCTCTGAATCCCCAGTCAGTAAGAGTTTCATCCACCATTTTGTTCTTCTTGGATTCATAAAAGAGCTGATGTACAGAACACCCTGTTCTAAGCTCCACCATGCTTTCTGACAAACAAGAACCACCAGGAACTAGACTTCATCGCTTCATCCTTGCTCTGGCTATGGCAGAAGCCTTTTGTCTGCATCTGGCCTCCCATTTACTCTCAAGCATTCCTGTCTCCAGTCATAACTCCCCACATCACATCTGAACAACTTCTCCTGAATTGCATGGCTGTAATATTGACAAACAGGGCTAATGAGAGCAATTAAATTGCCAACTGTTGAACAAGACATACCCTTTGAAGAGAACAGCCACAGTCTTATTGCATTTAGTACACAGTCACAACATTGAAATGACATTTGAGAATCAATACAAAATATTTATTTTTTTCAAACCACAGAATTCACCTCAGAGCCACACTATCAATTTCCCAGAATTATAAGCCAGTAACACATTGCATTTCTAAACAATGCAATCCAACCAGAAATGAAGATAATTTCCAATCAGCATGGGTACAATATACCCTACGGTCCTCTGATTAGCATTTTCTTTAATTCTCCCACAGCCACTCCACCAACATAAGCAGAAATAGTATAGGTATGTGTGCCACTTGGCTCTGGAAAGAGATTCAAAATGAGGTCTTGGCCAGTGGACATGGGAAAGTGTCAATGACTTAGTTAATGAACAGTGGGAACAGAAGAGGAATCATTTCCCTTGAAAAGAACAAAGGTCCTTTCACAGATCCTGGTGGCCAGAAACTGGGGCACATTTCAACTCGGTAAGGAAAATAACAGGAAAGCCATTTCTCCATGAATACCTATGACCTCTGTTTTACCTTCTGATAAACATAAATTTCACCTTATGCAATCTTAGTGAAAAGAGTAATCACAACCAAAAAGGTCCTTATAAATCTCTTCTAGGTGTACGTCAAGGGATTCATATTCTGATCTTAAATTTAAAGTCCCATTAAGAGGTCTAAAGTGGATTAAAGTCAACATAATACTCTGAAGCTCAATAAGATATCATAAAAAAAAAAAAATCCAAACAATGATTGGATAACTAATGCAGGGGATCTGTTTTGTTTTTTAATAACTCAGATTAGTGTATATCCATAGAACAATGTTATCTAATATTAGCTGCTTATTGGACAATTGAATTTTAGCTCAAGGATAATGCCTCGTGTAATAATCATGGAAATAATAAACTGCAATAAAAAAGAAAAAACACAGAGAAGAAAAGAGCCAGTTTCAATGAGAAGACAAGATCTGAAGGGTGACCCTGGGAGATTAAATAGTTTCTTAAAATACTATGACACAAGCGCTCCTACTCACTTAGCTCCAGAAACCAATTGTGTTTGCAGGATCACCATTACCTTTGCTTGTATGTGTGCACAGACCATCACTCTAAAGTTATCCTTTTGTGCTGAAGAACTTTCAAATCCCTTGTTTGGTCGGTACAGAATATTACAGCGAGGTGATGCGTGTGCAAACTCTTCCTGAGGAATTCTTTGTGTGTGCAAATTTGCAACCTGACAGAAAGCGTGGCATGCAGCAAGAGGAGTGACAGCATCCGGGGCTGTAGCACTGGGGATGTGCATGCAGCGTTATCGCCACAGCCCACTCTTCTGCAAGCTCACTTACTCACACGTTGACTTTCATCCCGCACCTCGAAGGAAGGGAGGGGAACTGCCTCCAACTTGTAAAAGGGACAGGGGATAAAGTCACTTTTCCACAAAATTTAATAATGCACCACTCATGTGCCCGGGTATTTGTCTCTTTTCACTAACTCCTATCTAAGAATAGTAAATGAAGAGTCACAACACCAGGTTTTGCTCTCTGCCCCACAGAAAACACAGCAGTCAGGTCAGGGTGCAGCTGTGATGAGGATATAAGACAACACATACTGAAGCTTAATGCCAACTTTAAAATAAGTACCATCTCTCCAAACAACGACCACCTATTGATGTGAAGTGTCACCATCCCAGAGTGAGTGAACTGGCTTTCTCTGGAGGGTCCAGCTTCAAGCTGCATGTCTACACTAGTCCCTTTGGCAAACCAACTTCATGTGTTGACTCATGAGATGATCAACCTGCTTTACAATTTTCTGCCTTTGATGATTTGGGCCCCATAAAAAGCCAGTGTTTAACTATGGTGTGTAAACTACATACTGTACTGGCAAGAAGAATACAAGTGAACACATGAAGGAAATACTTTTAGGCAGACAGTGCTTAGTCAATACAAAATGGAGGCATTTCTTACTTCTTCGTTGCAGACTAAGAATTTTGTTAAGAATCCCAATTAAATAAGTAAGGTCAATATTGACTTAAAGAAATAAGTTCTTCATACTGCAGTGTACCTCAAAAGGCCAAGATGAGTAAGAACCAGGTTGAATGCACTGGGAGAAGGTGTTCCTCCAGTGCCTTCCAATCACAGCTTTGCACCATGAAGCCCTCACCCATAGTGAGCTGCAGCCACCATGCAAAAATTTACAGAGACTAAATTCTGCAAACTTTACTCTGTCCACTTTGTTAACACACACAAAATAAAAAGAAGACAATACAAACTATTCCCCCATTAACTAAACAATGCAAAAAGCATCCAAAAATTTTAATGCCAATTCACATCCTAATGTGATGCTTTTATAGGGAAGGTTCCGTTGTTGGCCAAAGAATACTTCCTTCCCAGAAAAAGCATTTGGGTACATTACTAGGATAATGAAGCATTCATCCACATTTAACAAAACATTCCAATTTCATTCCTTTTCAGAAATATTATTATTAAAACTACTTGAGAGAATTTGGTTGGAGGTGTTATATTTATAAGCCTGCAGCAAGCAGTCCATTGAGTAAAGTAAAATCTGAACTTCATGATAAAAGAGAATTCTTCCTTGACATTGGAATGTTATGATGTGGCAAATCAAACCGTCCAGGGCACAATGAGAGCCTGTCAATAGTCTTAGCAGTTTCAGTGTTTATCAATACAATCCAAGATGCTCACGGCATTAAAGGAGCACACGTCAAAGTCCTCCTCAAAATCTACCAACTCTGGTTGATAAGTACTTAAAAAAATAAATCTGACAACGTTTAACTTTTGCTTCTCTGAATACGAATTTTACAAATAAAGGATTTCTATTTGGTGACTTGACTTGCTCCTAACACTACACTTTGAACTCACCCCGAGCCTGCTCCCCGCAAAAGGACCAAGTGAACTGGCAGGGGCAATTCTATGAACAACCTGCAAATCACAAGTGTGATAGTCAGTATCCCTGATATGTCTTCTTTTTTTGCCCCTAGTTCTCTGAAGAGATAAATTAGTCTGACATAGCCAACAAAGCCAAAGAGAGTCAAGCATATGCTCAATTTAGATTTAAGCAAAACTGAGAAAAAAAAACATTTTCCCCTTGTCGCATCTATTTTCCTTTGCCTTTCAAAATCAATACGGTAAGCTTCAGTCTTTTATAAGGAACTAAACAGCACTGTGAGTGTATGGAAACAGAAAATATAGCTTGGCCAGAGCTACTTCTTCTCTATGACACTCAAATATGATGTTTTAAAAGATACAGACCACAGACTTTTTTTTTAAGTACTTATCTCACCCATTTAGAATGAGACTGATCAGGAATCCCGCACTATTGATTATGTTTGGATTTAATAACCGTATCTGCTTCCTAGAGCATCACAGGAACCAGCTTTGACCACTGGGTAATTTTCAACAGTATTAAAAAGGGAGCTTTAGTGCTAAAGTACTGCCCAACGCTAAACTAGCGTAATGCCAACACTGCAGCAGCTGGGGAGAGCCTGTTAAATGACAGAGGAATGGAAATATTCTACAAGAGTTGGTCCCTAACATTTAACAAGAAAACACCACTGCGAGGCAGGGGGAAATCTGACCCGTGTGCAACATGTTTCTGTTTCCCCACTGATTTCAGAGTCCTGCTATGAAGTCATACCCGACATCTTGGTGGGTCAGACTGTAATACCATCAGCTTTTTCAGGAAGCATTTGTGTTTGACAACATGGTCACAGAGCTGCAAAGTGCACAAAGCTCAAGGCACAGCGTAGAAGAGTTGTGAACTGATGGGGGTGGGGGTGGGGAGAAGTTATATTGAAAGCAGAGTTAGCATTTTCCTGTAACAAGACTTTCTAATGCTAAACAAAGACCAACTCTTTTTTTTTTTAAGGGGGTCATTTTGGTTATGGGTGAAAAATACTGTATTTTGTAATGATCTGTTTGATTTTAAAGCAAAGACATCTTGATGTGTGAAACCAATATGCCAAAGTGCCAAGTCCACAAATGAACAAAACAAGTGCTTTAAAAAAGAAAAGATTCTTCTGCTCTTATATCTTTTGGAGGAAGCTGCTGATTTTGGCTGCCGGATCTCACTTAGCAATGGTCACTCTTCATGTGTGTTCCTCACAGAATCTGTAGATAAACTTGTTAGAAGATTGTCCCATTCCATTTCAAAATCATCCCCAGGTCTAGCAGCAACTGTTTCGTTTCGTTTTGTTTTTTTTAAGTTACAAACCAAAGCAAGAAGTCCAGCATCCTCTTCCAAGAAGAGCTTGGCGACACGGCTCCTGAGTGTCTGTGGGACCCCGCTGTGCTCCGAACACAGTCTCTGCAGCTCCAGTGTCCTCTTCTCAGGAAGTAAAGTACATTCAATACATTCACTATCTGTACCCTCGAGAACTTGCACAGGCTGATGAGCTGTCTGAAAAAAAAAAAAAAAATTGGAAAAGGGGGAAGTATCAACAGCACCCAGCATCTGATAAAGGTAGAAATCTGCTTATGTGACACCTATTTCTCACCCCTCTCCCAAAAGTAGATCAGGAAAAAACCTCAAAACCATGTGGCTGTCAATGACAAGAAAGGGGACCACATCACCCAGAACTGAGTCTGGACACTTATCTCATTCTAGTGGAGATGAAAGAACTGGCAGCCTCTTGAAAACTGCCTGAGAACTACCACCAGCAACAGGGCTTCAGAGCTGCCATGGCCTACCCAACAGTCTGACCTTGACCATACACAGTGCCCTTGGAGACCACCATCAGGAACTCTGCAGAGATCATTATAGCCAGGGGCTGCTTTACATCACAAAACCATCAAAGATGGTAAGGAGCATCATTACTTACTATAAGTCAACTCATCCCCAGCTCTCTTCCGGGACTGGTCACCTCTGGGGATAAGAAAAGAAGAAGTCAACAGAACTGACTGACATCTTCACACACCAAAGTAGAGGAGAAATGAATTAGCATCACTGATGATGGAAGTTGAGTAGGTTTTTCAATTTTAACATCCTATCTTAAAATTGACATTAAACTTGTAAACAGCAGCTGAGTCACTTATAACCTGAATATTCTTAGCTAAAAGGTGCTACCTTTTAAATATAGAAAGCTATTAAATGAAGGAAGGATTATCTATAAAGATGGGTCCTAGAAACTGGTTCAGATTAAACTGTCTTTGAAGACAAATCTAGGCTCTATTAACATCCCTGGTGAACTGCATATAACAGGGCAAATTTCAACTATGAAATAGAATAAATTAAAATCTTCCCCTAAGAGTCCTATTATGGGATTGATAACTGCTTAAAGCTTTTGGAAAAATCTCAGAAATCTTAATGAATACCCTTCTAGCAGATAGAACATGAACCTTTACATACAGTAAACAGTTCACCTTAAATACCTACAGAAATACCCAAAGACCTACAGAAGTTCAAGTTCCACTTAAGAGATAGGAAAATAAGAGTTCTATGCTATTTGTAAATCCTACTTTTGTCTCTGCATTTTCTTAGACAATAACCCAGACAAATTACTAAAATGCCTAAATAATGAGTAATAATAACCAGTCCACTAGCTTTTTCTTCCTCAATCTCAGCAGTATTTACTCAGTTGACCTCCTCCTTCCTGAAACACTCCATGTGCTGCCCAATACTCTGTCCCTGGCCACTTTCTCTTCTTCTCCATGTATGTGCTCCTTAGTCTAGGAGAATGGTCATACCAGTCCTGTGACTTGAAATATGACCCTTATGCCAATGGCTCCCAGAATCCTATCTCCAGCTCTGATTCCCTCCTGATACTTCGGTCTTGTGAGGCCCAGTGGTCTCATCACCACTGTCACCTGGATGACTTCCATGTTCTGCAAATTTACCACGGCCAGAGCGCATTCCACCCCCATGCCTTCCTTAATAAACTGCACCACCATCCGCCCAATTACTCAGGCCCCAAATCCTAGCTCATCCTTGATTCTTCTCTTTGCCTCACTCTGGAGCATTCTGTCTCAACACATAACCCAAAATCAACCACTGCTCGACCCCACGGCTACAATGCCAATCCCAACCCACTTTCACCTTTCCCCTACACCACTGCAAGATCTTAGTATTAATCCAGGCAAGAGCCAGAGCTATCTTATGTTAAAAGCATATATAAGATGACTTCATGTCTCTGAATAAAAGCCCTTCGGTGGCTTTCTATGACAGTTAAAAAAAAAAACAACAACTCTAATTCAAATTTATTTTCCCAGCCCTGTGACTTATGGCTCGTATCTACCTCTCCACACCCATTTCCTCTCTCTGTTCACTACACTTCAGCCACTCTGGCTTTCTTTCTGTCCCTTGGACATGTTAGCACTTCTGCACTTTTCTCTATACTTGCAACACTCTTCTCCCAAGTTAGCCACATGGCTATCTCCTTACTGTTCAGCTGGAATTTTCCTCTTCAAGGACATTACATCACCAAGGGAGGGAACAGCCCCTCATGCATGCCCTGGTCAGGTACTCTATCCTACACTCCATCTCTTTTTCTGTGTAGCACTCATTATTATTAGAAATAATTTGTTTACATGTTTGCTACTTATCTCCCAACAGCAGAGTATAAGCTCCATAAAAATAGGAACTCTGCCTGTCTTGTTCACCACCCAGTATCTAGAAGCAGTATCTAAGTGCAGAGTAGAAAAACAAAGTATCTGCTGAATTAACAAATTAGTGCATAACTAATAAATAGCCTCCATAGATGGATTAAAATGCTAGCCTAAGTAATTATTTCATGTTTTTGTGTAATCTTCCAGATTACCAAACGTTCCCACTTTCTCTGGTTACAATCAAGACCAAAACAGAAACCTCTTGCTAAGCTGGATGAGGAGTCTTAAGGACCAGAAGAAAGAGAACACACCAAATGGTCTCTGAAGGATTTTTCTCTTGACTGAGCATTTAGGGAAAAACCTAGCATGAACTAGGTTTAGACAGCCTAACAAATTCTAAACAGATCCACCCTAATGCTGCTTTTGAACACCTCTACTGTTAATATACTATTTGGCCAAAGCCAGCTGAGAATATTACAGTACTGTCATCACAGCTTTGTTGCTATTCAGTCACTAAGTCGTGTCCGACTCTTTGCGACCCCATGGACTGCAGCACACCAGGTCTCCCTGTCCTTTAGTCTTTCCCCAAGTTTGTTCAAATTCATGCGCACTGAACTGGGGATGCTCTATTACCATCTCATCCTCTGTTGCCCCCTTTCTCCTTCTGCCTTCAATCTTCCCCAGTATCAGGGTATTTTCCAAAGAGTCAGCTCTTTGCATCAGGTGGCCAAAGTATTGGGCTTTCAGCATCAGTCCTTCCAATGAATATTCAGGACTGATTTCCTTAAGATCGACTGGTTGGATCTCCTTGCTGTCCAAGGGACTCTGAAGAGTCTTCTCCAGCACCACAATTTCAAAAGCATCAATTCTTTGGTGCTCAACCTTCTTTAAGGTTCAACTCTCACACCCACATGTGACTACTGCAAAAACCATAGGTTTAACTGTACAGATCTCTGTTGGCAAAGTGAGGTCTCTGCTTTTTATTATGCTGTTCAGGTTTGTCACAGCTTTCTTTCCAAGGAGTAAGCATCTTTTAATTTCACGGCTGCAGTCACCATGATTTAGGAGCCCAAGAAAATAAAATCTGTCCCTGTTTTCACTTTTCTCCCTTCTATTTGCCATGAAGTGATGGGACTGAATCCCATGATCTTAGTTTTTGAAGACTGAGCTTTAAACCAGCTTTTTCACTCTCCCCTTTCACTTTCATCAAGAGGTTTTTTAGTTCTTCACTTTTTGCCATTAGAGTGGTATCACCGGCATATTTTAGGTTATTGATATTTCTCCCACCAATTGTGATTACAGCTTGTGATTCATCCAGCCCGGCATTTCACATGATGTACTCTGCATAAGCAGAGTGATAATATATAACCTAGACGTACTCCTTTGCCAATTTTGAACCCGTCCGTCGTTCCATGTCTGGTTCTAACTGTTGCTTCTTGACCTGCACACAGATTTCTCAGGAGACAAGTAAGGTGGTCTGGTATTCCCATCTTTTAAAGAATTTTCCAGTTTGTTGTGATCCACACAATCAAAGGCTTTAGTGTAGTGAGTGAAGCAGAAGTAGATGTTTTCCTGGAATTCCCTTGCTTTTTCTGTGCTGTGCTTAGTCGCTCAGTCATGTCCGACTCTTTGCAACCCCATGGACTATAGCTTGCCAGGCTCCTTCTGTCCATGGGGATTCTCCAAGCAAGAATACTGTGAAGTGGGTTGCCATGCCCTCTTCCAGGAGATGTTCCCAACCCAGAGATTGGACCCAGGTCTCCTGCATTGCAGGAGGATTCTTCACCAGCTGAACTACCAGGCAAGCCCTTTGCTTTCTCTACGATCAACACGATCAACAAATGTTGGCAATTTGATCTCTGGTTCCTCCGCCTCTTGTAAACCCAGCTTGTACACCTGGAAGTTCTCAGTTCATGTACTGCTGAAGCCTAGCTTGAAGGATTTTGAGCGTCACTTTGCTAGCATGTGAAATGAACGCAATTGTATGGTAGTGTGAACCTTCTTTAGCATTGCCCTTCTTTGGGACTGGAATGAAATCAGATCATGAGCTCCTTACTACAAAATTCAGGCTTAAATTGAAGAAAATAGGGAAAAATCACTAGGCCATTCAAGTATGACCTAAATCTAATCCCTTACGATAATACAGTGGAGGTGACAAAACAGATTCAAGGGATTAGCGTTGGTAGACAGAGTGCCTGAAGAACTATGAACAGAGGCATGTAACATCATCACAGCAGCATTCACCAAGTACTCTGAAACAAGTAAATTAATGCTGATCAAAAAGGAAGACACAGGATAGATCTTGAATCTGGAACTTAGACTTCTATAAACAAACTTCATTCCCAACCCCACCACCAAATTTTTTTTAAAAAATAAAACACGTTAAAGTAACAGGAGAAAAATACGCATATGAAAACAACAGTAGGCACACAAAATGTCAGTGTGGTGTACATAAGGTTGTTAAACCACTCTCTGATAACACTCTTAAGTCAGCTGCCCTCAACACCAGACCCAGGCTACTACTGAAAAAGCCCTGATCCTTGGGTGACCGTCTCAGCTAAAAGAACAACAGTATCCCTAACAAGGTTCTACTTTGTTCTAGAAATCCAGGACAGTCACTCAGCAAAAATGGTTTACTTGCCTTTAAAAGCTATTTGGCACACGCTTTGACAAGGCCCATAGATGGATTTGAATGAGGATGCTCGACCTTGAGGGCCTGCATGTTAGAAGTTCCCTAGTGAGCTTATCTTCCATAATGTAATCTTTGACAACAGCAGACAACAGCCTGCCCTTCCCCCCAATAAGCAATTCAACTATGCAGGTAACATATTAAAAAAAAAAAATACTGCTTTTAGCTGGTATGTTACTTCTGGCTTTGAAATAAGTCCACACTGTATTTCTATGCACCTAAAGATGTCTCACACAAACTCCAACTCAAATAAGAATCTGTCCATTAACTACAAAGACGATATATTTGACAATGTTCACTTATTTTAAAACATTTCAAAGACTGTGCCACCCACATTAAAGCAATGCACTGTCATACCCTACATCATGTAAATGCAATACAGCCTCAAATGAAAAAATAGCTTGCAAAGCTGAACAGCAATCATGTATGGCTAGACACAAACCATAAAAAGACTGCTCACATGAAGGCAGCCAGTAACAGGATTTTTGTTAGACAGCTTATATGGTATTTTTTGCATCAGTGGACACCATTTCTTCAAAACAATTCTAGCCAAAAATGATCAAAGGCAGCATCAAGTTTGGAAGGAGCAGAGTATGGAAGGTCCAGACACAAGTGCTAGAAGTGCAGGTGACTGCCGTCAGCTGCTAAGTACATGGTGTATGCACACCCTTTCTGACTGGTCTTAGCCAGCCCAACAGTTCAGAATGTCCGCTGAAATCAGGGCCTACTCTGTGCAAATCACCCAACAGAGTAAGTCATAAGGCAGCCTTTATGAAGCTTGCTCTGCGTTCAATTGTTCTTTCGATGAATTTGTAGGGGAGAAAGTGGTCTCCCCATCCTATTCCTCCACCATCTTGGCTCCTCCCCTTGAGGCAGACTTTAATCTTCAGAATAAATGTAGAGTAGTTTGTTAACAGAAAATAGCTCAACTCAGTTTGTAAAATAAAACATTTTTAATTTTATCATCTTTTGGAATACTAGCTTTTAAATTTCATATGAATGAACACACCTGACCATCCTGACCTTATTAGAACAGTGCCAGGCTAGTCCTTCACGTTCAAAGGCAATGTTACCTGAGCTTATTTATGGAGTCAGTACCTCAACTCACCCCAAGCAGATTTTACATAAGAGCGACAACACACCAAACAGTCCTGCGCCCTGTTCTCTCATTCCAGGTCCCACGTTTTACATAAGAGCGATGAGACACCAAACAGCCCTACACCCTGTTCTCCTACTCCAGCTCCAAAATTAGGATTAGGAAAATGTCTCTGGGTGTGTTCCACACTCTTCTGTAAGGTGAATTCAGGTGTTCAAAGAAATCTACAAGAGCTATTTCCTACACTGCTTCACAGAAATAAAAGCCTTCAGAGGGCTGTTTGTTAAAAGCATTGATAAGCTCATCTCTAAAATTAAAAGCAAACACTCAAATATAACATGGAGAAAAAGCATAAAATAATTCAAAATTATGGTGAGCCTAGGAAAAAACATAAGAGGTATACTCAGTTTATTCTGCATTTATTTTTAAAACATTTCAAGAAAAAACTTTTAACTATAATTCAGAATGCATAAGCCATAATGAAAAAACTTGATAAAGTTATGTAAAATAAAAAAAACTTCCACGTGACTTCAAATAAAACAAACACACCAAAAAACCCACCATAAGCAAAGTCAAAAGAAACTGAGAAAAAAACTGTCATTTTGGGCAAACAATCTCTTCACTATAGAAAGAGCTCCTAGAAACCAAGAAAAAAAGACCAACAATCAAAAAGAAAAATGAGCAAAAAAGCAGAAACCATTTACAGGAAAAGAAATACAAACACAGGAAAGTATGCTCAGCCTCACTCATAATAAGAGAAACACAAATGAAACTAACTCTGAGTAATTATTTTTCACCTGCCAGATAGGCAGTGTAAACAACATACTCCATAGGCAAGGACGTGAAGAACAGGCACCTCACTTGGTGAATGCACAAACTGGCACAGTCCCCTATGGAGGGCTATATGCAATATTAATCAAAATTACCACTGCATTTACTCTTGACTCAGCAATCTAACTTAAGTGAATTTACTCTCCAAACATACTGACAACCAGTATAAAAATTATGCATGCAGCATTCTCTGTAACAGCAAAAAGACTGGAAATGATTCAATTTGCCATCTATAGGGGACTGGTTAAGTTATAGTACATCTACACAACAGAATGTGTAAGAAAGGAATAAAACTAAGAATATATATTGTGCTTGCTTCTATCTGTATATGATATGAACGCTGGAGGGGCTCATAAGAAACTAATAAAAAATGGTTACCTAATGGCTGAGAACAGACAGGGAGACAGGCGGGAGTAAAACTCAGTGTATGCTTTTTAATCTTTATTTAAAAAAAAAACAAACCTGTATCAGCTCTTCAAAACTGAGTAAGTAAAATTACTATAGCATTAAATGGCCTCATTCTGTGTATGAAAATAGTACCACTGTTAGAAATACTACAGTTGATGTCAGAAGACACCCAACCACTGGACATCAGGGAGAAAAGTCAGTTGTTGGCATGCAGACTCTCCCACGGCCTTTTGTTCCTCTCACTTGCCACAGAGAAGGCAGGCTCGTGGGCCTGTCTACATAGCTTCCTCTGACAGCTGACCGAGCCCTTCCAGTGTCAGCTGCCCACGAGGTGGATAATGACTGGTGGGTTACTCAGTGGCCCCTCTACCACATGAATACAGATGCCACCAGGACACAAAGGGAATAAATGCCAACAAAGAACAAAGGATCTGCTTTCTTTTCTAACCGGTGCTGAAATGAGAAACTGACAAACAGTGATCTTGATCAAGGCTGGTGTTCTGAGGCTGAATGTGGCCTCAGAACCTGCGAAACAGTGTGGCCATCCCCTGCCCAAGCCAGAGAAGTGAGTCAATACCCAACCACTCTTTTTTTTTTTTCCCCATTTATTTTTATTAGTTGGAGGCTAATTACTTTACATCATTGCAGTGGTTTTTGTCATACATTGAAATGAATTAGCCATGGATTTACATGTATTCCCCATCCCGGTCCCCCCTCCCACCTCCCTCTCCACCAGATCCCTCTGGGTCTTCCCAGTGCACCAGGCCTGAGCACTTGTCTCATGCATCCAACCTGGGCTGGTGATCTGTTTCACCCTACATAATATACATGTTTCGATGCTGTTCTCTTGAAACATCCCACCCTCGCCTTCTCCCACAGAGTCCACAAGTCTGTTCTATACATCTGAGTCTCTTTTTCTGTTTTGCATATAGGGTTATCGTTACCATCTTTCTAAATTCCATATATATGTGTTAGTATACTGTAATGGTCTTTATCTTTCTGGCTTACTTGGCTCTGTATAATGGGCTCCAGTTTCATCCATCTCATTAGAACTGATTCAAATGAACTCTTTTTAATGGCTGAGTAATATTCCATGGTGTATATGTACCACAGCTTCCTCATCCATTCGTCTGCTGATGGGCATCTAGGTTGCTTCCATGTCCTGGCTATTATAAACAGTGCTGCGATGAACATTGGGGTGCACGTGTCTCTTTCAGATCTGGTTTCCTCGGTGTGTATGCCCAGAAGTGGGATTGCTGGGTCATATTGCAGTTCTATTTCCAGTTTTTTAAGAAATCTCCACACTGTTTTCCATAGTGGCTGTACTAACTTGCATTCCCACCAACAGTGTAAGAGGGTTCCCTTTTCTCCACACCCTCTCCAGCATTTATTGCTTGTAGACTTTTGGATAGCAGCCATCCTGACTGGCGTGTAATGGTATCTCATTGTGGTTTTGATTTGCATTTCTCTGATAATGAGTGATGTTGAGCATCTTTTCATGTGTTTTTTTGCCATCTGTATGTCTTCCTTGGAGAAATGTCTGTTTAGTTCTTCCAACCACTCTTTGTGTCACAACTATGCCTCAGGGAGGAACCGAGGTGTCTTTCTCTCCACAACTTTCTCCCTTTAATATGAGGGATTCAAATAAGAGAAGACATGCAACCGTGCTAAGGAGAGGGCAAGAACTATGAAAATTATAAAGTTCCACTATATCCTCCAACGATCTGATTACAGAACAGGGTGCTTTCCCGTGAAGAATCAAAATTTTTCCGTAAGTTTAGTTGAAAATACACACTTTGAAAGATTTTCTGGGGTAAAGCCAGGATACTGAATTGCAACTTTCAGAAAAATTAGCAAAGTGTTTACATCAAAATCAAGGGAGGTGAATTTTGTGGACACATATAAGTGATACCCTACTTTTTAAGAAGAAATGACTGCAATTTAGGGGAAAAAATGGAAATATGAAAAACACAATCTAAACCCTCCTTACCAGTTTAGTCATAAAACGAATCCTTTGCTAGTTTAGTCATAAATGTACCTTATAACTGATCATAAAACTTTGAAAAGGTTTCTCCAAATATTCAAAACTAGTGTAAGAGGATCAAAGCTGGAAGAGCTTTTCGGAGGCTGCCCAGACTAACTGCCACCCAATGAGAAATCCCTTCTTCAAAACCTACTTAAGAGCAACTCCCATAAAGTCAAAACCCAGCTTCAACACTTTCACAGACAAAGGAGCTCACCACCTCTCCCCTCAGCACCGGCCCTATCAGCGGGCAGATATCTCCCATTCTAAGAACCTGGCGTCCCCCCTCACCCCCCCACACCAAGCCAAACTGGCCTAAGGAAATGGACACATTTTATCATGAAAGGAGAGGAAAACTTGCCTCATGAAACCATTCTGTATAAGTTCTCTTTGAAGCTTCTGGTCTTGAGCAGCATATTCAGACAGTTCAGACTCCACCGCACGAGGGAGAATGTTTGGAATAAATTTAGAAAACAGAGTCGGCGCCATCTGAACCCACTCTGTGAGGGAAGGAAAAGATTCATTAAGGAAATCATACAATTTAAATAGAAAAGGAGAAGTTTTCTTCCCAAAGAACAAGATTATAAATTAAACCAAACTTAAAGTGGGAAAAAAATTAGTGCAACCCCTTCTGATAAAGAGGTTAAGTTTCTTTGCTAAATGGAATTTACAGGAAGAGGATATTTTACATTTTATTGATTTAACCAAATTTAACAAAAAATCCATAGAGAATTTTTGAATGAACCTTCTCAAAAATTCTCAATGTGAAAGAAAATGCAAGGGAAATAAGCAAATTCTGAGCAGGAGGACTTAGAAGGAAAAGATTTTATGGAAATACTTAGCCCTGTGGAACATTAATTTAAAAAATACACTGGCCTAAGAACAGAACAGTACATGAAGTAATAAGCAGACATATTTTAAAAGTACCAAAAAATGGGGAGGGAGGTGGGAGAGATGTTACCCATCATTTAAAATATAAACCAACTTTGTCTCACATTAAATTATAGCAAATTAAACATATGTAACAGTGAAAGAAAGAGAATTAACTGGTAATCAAACTATTAAGGAAAAGATAAAAGATCAAGAGAATAATCTATAGAAAAAAATTCATTCATCAAAATATACAAAAAGAAGTCAAAGGAAAATATCTGCATTAGACATGACAAAGCTAAATTAAGTGTCTTTATTATAAAGTATTTTAACAAATCAGATACTCTTCCCCTTACTCAATGAACACTAAATATAAATACTGCCACTTCTGTGCCCTCTTGGATTCTTTTAACCTAGTCCTTTCAAATTTTCCCTTTTGGATATATATATGGGCTTCCCAGGTGGCACTAGTGGTAAAGAACCCAACTGCCAATGCAGGGGACCTAAGAGACATGTGTTCAATCCCTGGCTCAGGAAGATCCCCTGGAGATGGGCATGGCAACCCACTCCAGTATCCTTGCCTGAAGAATCCCATGGACAGAGGAGCCTGGGGGCCTACAGTTCATAGGGTCGCACAGAGTAGAACATGACTGAAATGACTCAGCACGCATGCACGTGCACGCGTGTGTGCGTGGGTGTGTGTGGGTGTAGGGGTGTGTGTGTGTGGTGTGTGTGTATTCTGGCTGTATGTATCAAAACCCATAAAATGTCAATGCTGTATTTAATCCAGTATGCTCACTTTAAAAACTGTAATCTAAGTGAACAACTCTAAATCAGAAAAACAAAGCAAAACACATTTAATGCTATGTAGTGCTGGATCACTGGCAAGTTAAAAAAAAATGCCTAATAAGAGAAGAGCTAAACTAGAGATGGTAAACAACAAACAATGAAAAAACCAAGCACCACAAACACTATCAAGGTGATCCAATCACCCTCTGTACAGACTTGTATCAAAATGTTCTCAATAATGTCCCTTTTTCTAGCTCAGTTCAAATGGCTTTAAAAAGAGTCTCAGTTCAGTGCCCTGGGGAACCACTAATCCATCAGAGAAGGCAAGGAGTCAAACCAGTCTGACATTTTATGGAACTCCAGGCAATCATTAAAATGAAGATAAAGAAACAATGAAAAGTGTTTGTATTAAATGAAAAAGAGCAAGATGGGATCATGGGAACTATTCCTAGAGAGCTTCTAAAGACTAGATGGAAACACATTTAAATAATAGATGTCATCAGAATCTCCAAGGACTAGGGCCCAGGAATCTACAGTTTAACAAACCTTTTTGGGTGATTCAGATGCATCCATTATATAAAAATCAGCACTACTGTAATGAAAGGAACCATTTAAAATTCAACTTTTAAAATATTTTAACCTTAGTCTGTCAGGTGAATAAAACTGCTTTAGCAAACTAGGAAGACAATGGGTACTGGCAAGACGAATAAATGTCAAAATAAGTTTAAGAGTATCTCAGAAAATAGCAAGGACAGCAAAAGGTTCGTCTGTGATAAAATTCACCTTTTCAAAAGGACAATTCTCAAATACAGAATTCTCCTCACAAGTAGTACAAATCCTATACAAGAGCTCAAACCTGGATAAAAATAGCATTTGGATAAACATGTATCTACAAGTTTTTTTCTACCCTTAGTGACTAGTTTTATTCTGTGATTTTGTTACTAATGATAAAAGCCAGACCTGATAAAGCTGCTCACTTTGGAGGCAGAATTTAGAAATCTGTCATATTGTACTTGGATGTCTTCCAAAATAAAAGAAAAAAATCATTCATAATCTAGCACTGAAAGAAAAATTCATTAAATTACTTTCAACACACTTAGCAAAATGAAAGTTAAAATTCTATGAAACTAGAAAAAGAAATTCATCAGTTTATTGGACACAGGCAATACTTTTAATTTTATATAAATACTTATTCTGTAGGAATAATATGTTTAAAAATTATGAAGATTAGAGCAAGAACTGATTCCAATTTAAGTAACATTACATTTGAATACTCTAGAAATCACTAACTCTTTAAAGAAGCCAGAGAAAGAAGGTACTTCTGTAGATCACAGTCTACCCCTAATATCACAGTTTTTACTTGGTTTCCAATGTGGTAAGCTAAATTCTGCTATTTCTTTTAAATTAAATAAGTAAATTATTCAGATATCAGTCCATTAAAATAACCACTGGACCCAAACGAAAAGCAGTAACAACAGTTAATATTAGCATGCTTATTACATTATCAAGTACTATTATGTTAATTTCTTTAGATCCTTTTTTATTTCATTCGATCTTCAAGTGACAGAATTTCACAAAAAAATAATTACTGTCAAAAAGGCATCCTTAAGTTTCTAGACTGGCAATTATTTTTCTTTTTATGCTCTTTCTTTCTTAAGTAGCAAGAGTTTATTAAGCAGAGAGAAAGTACACTCTTAAGAAAGTATCAGAGGAGACTGAAAACCAGAAGCAGTCAGAAAACAATTTTCTACCCTGAACTTCAGCAATCTCTGTCCCATGGACATTTTTTAATTGACTAGACCACTGGGATAAGTTTGAGGTTCTAGGTTATAAACAGAAAGATATGTATAAAAGCATCTGGAGAATCCTTTAAATTCAGTGCTTTTATTATAAGACATATATCAAGATTAACTTACAAACACAGTGATCTTTGATTTTTGGTTCTGCTATTCTATCTCCCTCCTCAAAATAGCCTTGAAATAACTACAATTTTATCAAATTTCTAGATTCCTCGCAAGATACATCACAGGCCTTACAAGATGGAGCTGTGAATGTGCATGCCTGGGCATACTTGCATTATGACACGGAAGTAAAGGAGAACCTAACAAAAAAAGAGATTCACGCCAGACACAAGATTCAACTGTATCTAAAGTGTCTCCGACAAAATATTTCTTGTATTCTCTAAATTATCTGCTTTTCACTAGTATGGAAAGATTTCCAAGTGAGACCCTGAGTTTATATTTCACAATAATGAGTATCTAACTCAACTTTCTTCTGTAACAAACCCAAATACCATTAAGCTTCAGAAAACATAGAAAAACACTATCCTTTCACGAATCAGGCTGGAATTGCCATAAACAAACAAATCTAACCCCTAAACAAAAGATGAATGTTTACCTGGTCTGAGAGTATACAGGCCTTTCACAATATTTGCCATAGTTGAAGGTGTGACCTGAAATGGTGTTGACTGGGCTTCTAAAAGTAAAGCTGAAATAAAGAGAAAATGGGTTATAAAAATTATGCAACTTATTGATTGTCAAGGTTTCACTTTCTATCACCGTTTCTCCCAAAGACTGAAGGATAAACAAGGATAAGAAAAGAACAGCTCAAGAGGGCAAACCAAGTATTTATACACTAAAGTTCTTCTTTTTTCAAAATTAATCCATCACAGTCGAGTTCCATCTACCAAGTAAATATGTGCATGTTGCTGAAACACTGATGGAAATGATTCAATTGATGGAGGTTCTGTAAATAAGCAAAGCTTTATTAAAGCAACAGTACTCATGGTACTTAAGTGAGTGAACTATAAATAGTTCCCATCAAGTTCATGATTTAAAACACTTACATTTGGGGAATGAAAGTTCTCTAACTCCCTCAATCATTTCCCTTTCCCCAAAATCACCATGTATTAACTAACAAATACTCATGAAATTTGGTGTAATTTTAGTCTCAGCCAGGCTTGTCAAATTACTAAATTGTTTTTTCTATTCACACCTTTTTAAAAATGGAAATGCCATCTTAGTCAACATTTCTGTAGTTTCAAACATGCAATGTGTGTTACATTTGAATTCATGTACTGAAGGCCAGAAGGTCACTGGTTCAAGTTTTTCCTTCTGATTTTATCATCAGCAGATAGCTATAATTTTGAATGGCATAGATAAATTTAAAGGATAACAAATGCTAGGCATTGCAGAAAAATCACGTCTTAAAAAAAAGTAATGTTTAAAAACTGAAATTCTAAATTTCAGTTTCTTGGAGTCTCTCCTACTCTACTAATTTCAACATGACCCCAAACCCAGACTCTGTCTCTGTTAATTCATCTTCCTACTTTTGGACCAACCATTTGGCTTTCAGTAAGTCTTGAAAGTGAAAGTCGCTCAGTCACGTCCGACTCTTTGCAACCCCATGGACTATACAGTCCATGGAATTCTCCAGGCCAGAACAATGGAGTGGGTGGCTTTTTCCTTCTCCAAGAGATCTTCCAATCCAGGGATCGAACCCAGGTCTCCTACATTGCAGGCAGATTCTTTACCAGCTGAGTCACAAGGGAAGCCCAAGAATACTGGAGTGGGTAGCCGAGCCCTTCTCCAAGGTATCTTCCTGACCCAGGAATCGAACCAGGGTCTCCTACATTGCAGGCGCATTCTTTACCAACTGAGCTATCGTCTTATTCCCAACTAATTCTTCAGGTTCAATCACATAGTCATTATGCCATCAAATACATACATTTGCAAATAACCTCTACATAACTATAACTACCTATGTCAAACTTGATAGCTATATAAGGAAATGATAAATTCACATATTAAACATAAAATGAATACAAATTTGGGATGAATTAATTGAAAATAATCACATTCAGTTACAAAAAGATTTAACATTTCAATAAAATCCTCTCCACTTAAAATTCTTTGTAGAAAGTCTTTAATTAAAAAGTAAAATTCTCTAGTTGAACTCCCCTTTTAAAACAAAATGGGAATTTGAGGGAGCCATAGCTTGAGAGAAGGGACAAACATATGTTTAATTCTCATGAGCTTTAACTTTTTTTAATAAAAATAAGGAAACTGAGAGGATACTGTGCTATTTCAAAAATATTAACACTATCCTTCTAGAATTACCGGTAACAAAATTATGGGCAAATGAACTCCTTAATATTAATAATATTTCCCCCAATGTCAGAGGAAAACAAAAGAGGCAAAGTATCACTCCAGCTATGATAGCACTGTTCAGAGCCCGGCTTCTCCCAGCTCACTGGGTAAACTTCAAGTCAAATTTCAATTCCTCAGTGCCTCACTATAGAATGAGATTTTAACACGTCTTGTGATATGATTCCAAATATGTCAACATTGGGGTTCAGATGCCAGTGCTCACTGATTCAAAAAAGAAAACCTGCTAGTGTCACGTCATCCCTCCAAGTTGAAACACTTACGCATTAGGCTGTAAATGTGCTTTTCTGCAACGTGTTCAGTAAACAGCTTTATAAGGTCATCTTTTAAGTCTCTGTTAAGCTTGGTTTCGATGTAAAACTTATTCTGAAATGGAAAACAAGTTATTTTTCAGGGCATCAAATAGAGGGAAATAATTAGTCTAATGAACTGAAGAACTAAAAAATAATTTTAGGAAACAATTCATAAAACATCAATTAAAACATAAAAAACCAACATCAGAAAACAAAAGCTCTGCCACTATTATAGTCTTCCTAGCATGGAGTTTAAAGCACATAAAGACAAAATGCTATAACTCACATAAAAGAACATGGGAAGATACTCAACATTAACTAGACAGGGATGTAATGGACCATATTGTATGACAAGCACTTAATATGCCCTTTCATATGACTACATCATGATCTAAAGGCAATACCAAGAAACACAAGTGATAGGTACACTATTTAAAAGTCCAGGCTTAAAGCAGGCAGTGGGCATGCACCGGGTGACTCCCCTACATTCCACTTTAATGATTAGTCCAAATCATTCAGTTTACAGCATTCCTTCCGGATGGGTAGTCTTTGGTTCAAAGGCAGACAAGTGACCCAAGGTAACCCAATCAGACTAAGGGAAACTGAGGCTTGAGTGAAGAGTACCTTACAGTCATCTTACAACCATGCGGAAAATAAGATGAAACAGTTATGTAAAGCAAAGAGACAAAAAACAAGCTAAGACTTTGATAACACTGCTCAACTACAGATTTAACCAACCCTGGAAACTACTTTATTTCTAGAACTTTATAGCAAGAGACAATACTTTCCTTTCTTTATCTAAATCACTTTGAATCAAGTTTTCTGTTTCTTACAGCCAAAAGCATCCTAATTAAAATGACTGGCAAGTCAAAAAGACTAAACTCATTCGTGTTTAAAAATGCTAACTCCATGTATAGGAGTAGAAAATACAAAGAGGACTATTAACAAGTTGCTCACTGATTCTTTCCATTTTTAACATTTTTTTCCTCTCTGATATGTTTTATTTCCCCTAAAATAAAGAAGAAAACACTTGCTAATGAAGAAATATACCTCACACTGCTTTACATCTTGCTTTTTCACCTAATGTTGTAGCTTGAAAAGATTTCCCTTGAAAATAACATACGGACATGTCATTTTTGTATAGTTTTTACTGTAAATATCCTTCATCCATTATTTAAATAGTAGTCTCCCACTGACGACACAGATTTCTCCCAATGACCTGTTTGGTTTTTTTCCCCCCAGTAAAGAATATCTTATGGACAATAAATCATTTTGAAGTTTGGTATTACACACAGTGACCTCTAAGCAACAGAATGTAGGATCAACCTAAACAACTTAACCTAACAACAAGAAAGTGGGACAATGGTTTCTAAAGGCTCTTCCATTCAGTAGGAACACAAACATTAAGATCCTGTAACTTTATATATTTAAAACGGGATGGGGTGGGGTGGGAGTGGAGAACACATCAGCAAAGTTAAGAGACTACAGATTATACCCATGGCATATCCTCCAAATGAAAAAGATCATTAGAATGAAAGAAAATTTTATTGTTCTACTTTTTATGAAGTTACCTCCTTGGCATTTATTATACACCATGTTTTTAGAAACATGTCTTAACTGTACTTTCTGAAGATGAGAAATCTTCATATATAGGAAAGATTTTATTTTCTTATCTTTCTTTATCTTTATTTTCTAAGCACAGTATCTTTCATACGGTAGAAATAAAATAAATGCTAACTGGGTGACTGCAATTAAGTGATGCCTAATTGACTATTTCAGCAATGGTATTTATGAAGTTTTAAAACAGTGTACACAAGGCTAAATAAGTTTTCTATGTCAACACTATCAAATATTGCTGAAAGGATTAATTTCCATTTCTAACGTAATACTTAGTAAAAGAAAAATAGAATATACTTAACTTTCTGCATCTGTTTGCACTTAGACCAATAAACCAAGGTATGTGGAAAGGGAAAATAGCTCTAACTTACCATATATATGAAAAGAGGCACAATGCTCTGCAATGCTCCCATATATTGTCCAAGAGCTATATTAAATCTTTCAATATAGAGATCTGGAGGGCTGGCCTGTGAAAAACAACATAAATGTGATTATTTTGGGAAACCAGGTACAAAGATCTCCCAGCACAATCTAAAATGCAAACAGAACTCAATCAAAATTCATACTGAAATTCACAATTAGGAAAAGAGAAGGCTTATATCCTGAAGTTTAGTTAAAACTTCTATCTGTATTCCAGTATCTGTTATGCAAAACCAAGGTTTGATTTAGTTGTCTTTAAAATCTGTGAAACTGTACCACCTTAAAAAGCTTGCTCTGTAAGTCAAAATCTAAATTCATAATTAAGATAAATGATACAATTTTTAAAATTACAACTGAACTATAGACATTTACTATGGGAACCAAACTATATCTGGGCTTGGAAAAGGGGGGCTGGAATTCAAGGAAATGGTATATGCTTAATATACTATAAGAAAGGCTGTTGGTATTTTGTAATTACCTTTGGTACAGTAATATTCTGAATTCTATACTAACTCGGTTGTAAATCACTCCTGTAGCTAACCAACTATAAACTCATCAACTAGAAAGCAGGACTCAGAGGATCCATACACATCTGCAGTTCTGGACAGCAGTTAAATATAATACATGACTGGCACTTAACTGGTATCAATGATAGTTTTGATGGTTGTAAACCCATCAAAAGACAACACTTCCAATTTCAACGCATGTTATTGAATGTGCCTGTATGCATGCATGCAAGCTATGTGTGTCCCCACATGCAAGTCCTAGTCAGTGAAGCTATATGCAGAGGCTAAATGAGGTCACAAGAGCCCTGACCCTAAAGAATTAGTGTCCTTATTAGAAAAGACACCCAGGGGTTCATTCTCTTATCTTTCCTCTCCCTTCCCTCCCCCAAAGCATACTCAGAGGAAAGTCCACGTGAGCACACTGCAAGAGGATGGCTTTCTGCAAGCCATGAAAAGAGCTCTCACCAGAAATCAAATCAGCTGGCACCTTAACCGTGGACTTTCCAAGTCTCCAAAATGGTGAGAAATAAATTTCCACTGTTTAAACCACTCGGTCTGCAGTATTTTGTTATGGCAGACCAAACAGACTAAGACACTGTGTTTTACAAAAATGTACCCAGGTTCTATTTCACTTTGTTCTCTGAAGCTAAATTAATTAGGTACCATTTTAACATTGAAGAAACACACAAATGGGCAAGGATTTGCCAAAAAGGAATGTGTCAGGAGACGACAGATCCACGTCTTCCAGTCCTGAATGGAGTCTTGGGCCAAGGAGCTGGGGGAACAGGCATGGCACACAACATCACACAAAGCTGATTCCACAAAAGGGCTGACTGGTACCAGTCCGACAGGGTGATAACCATGTCACACACAGGAAGTCTGACTTTCAAACAAGGCTACAAAGAAACACCACATTGAAAGACTCCTAAATATTGAATACTGAGATTATAAAACCATTTCAGCTAAGCTGCTTTAGAAAATGTCCAAATAGTCCAAAAATATCTTAAAATAAAACTTAACTCTTTTTTTCACTTCTGCTTAGAAAGAAAGAAAGAAAGTGAAGTCACTCAGTCATGTCCGACTCTTTGCGGCCCTATGGACTATAGCCCACATCAGGCTCCTCCATCCATGGAATTTTTCAGGCAAGGGTACTGGAGTAGATTGCCATTTCTCTTCCAGGGGATCTTCCTGACCCAGGGATCAAACCTGGGTCTCCCTCAATGCAGGCAGACGCTTTACCACCAGAGCCATACTTACTTCTAAGTCATCTCCCATTACTGAGTTCTTACATAGAGGTTTGGTACACACTATTTTAACATTTATTTTTCTTAGTCTACTGCAATACATCCAACATTTTTCCATTTAACTTCTGAGGTAACTGAGGCTCAGAAACAATCACTTGACTGTAGTTCTATTCCTAGTAAGCCCAAGAATTAAGACTCAAACACTGTTCAAACTCAGTCCTTGCATCTGTTTATTCAGTTCAGTCGCGTCCAACTCTTTGCGACCCCATGAATCGCAGCACACCAGGCCTCCCTGTCCATCACCAACTCCCAGAGTTTACTCAAACCCATGCCGTCAGGTTGGTGATGCCATCCAACCATCTCATCCTCTGTCGTCCCGTTCTCCTCCTGCCCCCAATCCCTCCCAGCATCAGGTCTTTTCCAATGAGTCAACTCTTCTCATCAGGTGGCCAAAGTACTGGAGTTTCAGCTTCAACATCAGTCCTTCCAATGAACACCCAGGACTGATCTCCTTTAGGATGAACTGGTTGGATCTCCTTGCAGTCCAAGGGACTCTCAAGAGTCTTCTCCAACACCACAGTTCAAAAGCATCAATTTTTCGGTGCTCAGCTTTCTTCACAGTCCAACTCTCACATCCATACATGACCACTGGAAAAACCATAGCCTTGACCAGATGGATCTTTGTTGGCAAAGTAATGTCTCTGCTTTTTAATAGGCTATCTAGGTTGGTCGTAACTTTCCTTCTAAGGAGTAAGCATCTTTTAATCTCATGGCTGCAATCACCATCTGCAGTGATTTTGGAGCCCAAAAAATTAAAGTCTGACACTGTTTCCACTGTCTCCCCATCTACTATCCCATGAAGTGATGGGACCAGATGCCATGATCTTAGTTTTCTGAATGTTAAGCTTTAAGCCAACTTTTTCACTCTCCTCCTTCACTTTCATCAAGAGGCTTTTTTTTTTTAGTTCATCTTCACTTTCTGCCATAAGAGTGGTGTCATCTGCATATCTGAGGTTATTGATATTTCTCCCAGCAATCCTGATTCCAGCTTATGCTTCTTCCAGACCAGCGTTTCTCATGATGTACTCTGCATATAAGTTAAATAAGCAGGGTGACAATATACAGCCTTGACATACTGCTTTTCCTATTTGGAACCAGTCTGTTGTTCCATGTCTAGTTCTAACTGTTGCTTCCTGACCTGCATACAGGTTTCTCAAGAGGCAGGTCAGGTGGTCTGGTATTCCCATCTCTTTCAGAATTTTCCAGTTTATTGTGATCCACACATCTGCTTATTAGGTAAATGCAAAAGTAATTGTGGTTTAGCATTGTTGAAGTTTGCCATTTCATACTAGAATACATTCTTAAATAAATGTGGTTACATTATACATCATTTTAATGTGCAGTTCTCCTTCTATTTTTTTGGCTAATGACTTACTACTTGGTGTGTTTTTCATCTTTATTTCAGACTAGGAAATTATGTTAGACAAAAAGCAAATTCGAGCGATTTTCTTACTCGAGTTCAAATTGGGTTGTAAAGCAGCAGAGACAACTCTCAACATCAACAACAAACGTATTTGTTCTAGGAACTGCTAAAGAACGTACAGTGCAGTGGTGGTTCAAGAAGTTTTGCAAAGGAGACGAGAGCCGTGAAGATGAAGTGTATAGTGACCAGCCATCACTGGTCACTGGCAACGACCAACTGAGATCATCATCAAAGCTGATCCTCTTATAACTACACAAGAAGTTGCCAAAGAACTCATCACTGACTATTCTCCAGTCATTCAGCATTTGAAGTAAATTGGAAAGGTGAAAAAGGTCAATAAGTAGGTGGCTCATAAGCTGACTGCAAACCAAATAAACTGTCGTTCTGAAGTGTCGTCTTCTCTTGTTCTATGCAACAACAAACCATTTCTCAATCTGATTGTGATATGCGATGAAAAGTGGGTTCTATACAACAGGCAACAACCAGCTCAGTGGCTGGACTGAGAAGCTTCAAAGCACTTCCCAAAGCCAAACTTGCACCAAAAAAAGGTCATGGTCACTGTTCAGTACTCTGCTGTTGGTCTGATCCACTACAGCTTTCTGAATCCCAGCAAAATCGTTACATCTGAGAAGCATGCTCAGCAAATCGATGAGACGCATCGAAAACTGCAACACGTATAGCCAGCACTGGTCAAAAGAACCCAACTCTTCTCCATCACAACGCCCTTCACACAACCCATGCTTCAAACGTTGAACAAACTGGGCTAGGAAACTCTGTCTCATCCTCCATATTCACCTGATCTCTCACCAACCAACCACCACTTCCCAAAACATCTTGACAACTCTTGACAAACATCTTGACAACTCTTGACAAACATCCTGATAACAGGGAAAACGCTTCCACAACCAGCAGGAGACAGAAAATGTTTTTCCAGAGTTCACTGAATCCCAAGGCATGGGTTTTTGTGCTACAAGAATAAACAAATTTACTTCTCATTAGCAAAAGCATGTTGATTGTAATGGTTCCTATTTTGATTAATAAAGATGTGTTTGAGCCTAGCTATATTTCTTGGGCTCCAAAATCACTGCAGATGGTGAGCAGCCATGAAATCAAAAGACACTTGCCCCTTAGAAGAAAAGCTATGACCAACCAAGACAGCATATTAAAAAGCAGAGACATGACTCTGTGACAAAGGTCCATGTAGTCAAAGCTATGGTTTTTCCAGTAGTCATGCATGGATGTGAGAATTGGAACATAAGTAAAGCTGAGTGCTGAAGAATTGATGGTTTTGAACTGTGGGGTTGGAGAAGACTCTTGAGAGTCCCTTGAATTGCAATGAGATCCAACCAGTCCATCCTAAAGGAAATCAACCTGAATATTCACTGGAAGGACTGATGCTGAAGCCAAAGTTCCAATACTTTGGCCACTGGATGCGAAGAGCTGACTCGCTGGAAAAGACCCTGATGATGGGAAAGACTGAGAGCAGGAGGAGAAGGGGACGACAGAGGGTCAGATGGTGGGATGGCATCACCGACTCGATGGACAAGAGTTTGAGCAAGCTCCAGGAGTTGGTAGTGGGCAGGAAGCCTGACGAACTGTAGTCCATGGGGCCGCAAAGACTGAGTGAGTGAACTGAACTGATAATGATTTAAGATTCACAGTCCAAAACTGCAGTTACGCTTGCACCACCCTAATACAATCAATTTTTAGCACCTCGAAATTTATAGAAAAAAATTCAAAATTCCAGTTTAAGGCACTATCTTACCTCTGTCCTTTCACATCCTGCTCCTTCTCCCATGCAGCCCAGCAAAGCC